CCGGGACGCGCCTTTACCCTCCCCGTTCACCGCCACATCCAGGGAACGCCGACGTTAAGCGTTAACGCCACCTCAAATCCCACAGATTTCACCCCGTTTTCGCTGGCAGAGGTGCGCCCGGGTTCCTTCTCGGCGGAGCACGCGGGATTTCACAGAGGGTTAAGGTAAAATATCTCCCTGCAAATAAATGGTTTACATTCCTGAACTCGGTCCAAACGCTGTTTGCCAGTAGATAATTACCAGACTATAAAGTTTACTTCGGAGAAATTGTTCCAAAATATCAAAAAATCATAACGAGGGGTGTTTGATTACGTACACGTGATTACAGCTCCCCTCGGCCAAGGCGCGGAAGACAAAAAAATTAATAAAAAGTAATTAGAAGCACCGGAGGGACCAGCAGGTCGTTTGCCGGGGTGAGACCGATTCCTACCTGCGCCGGTCTCCAACCAAAGCACAATCCCCGTTTCCTCTTAAAACAGAAACAGGGATTTACGCTAACGATGGCTTCGCTGCCCGCAGTAATTTAGCTAATAGCTGGTCACCTCCAGCAAAGTCACACTCGGGGTATCATCAGATAACGCAGCAGCAGCAACAGTTATTCAGCTTTCAGTAATTAAGGGGGGGGGGCAGATAAAATAATCAGGAAAGTCGTGTTTTACTACTTTTAAATGAGTAATCCCGTCCTCTGCCAAGGTACAAAGATTAGAGGCCATGTGGGAACAACCGGCCTCGCGCGGGTGGTTCCCCCCCGTACAGCACAGTTATTTACAGTCGCTGTCGTGGTTCCTCGAGTTCAGGGGTGGGGAATTCAAGTGTTTTATAACACGAAGGGGCCCCTCACGTAACACCAGAAAATGGCCGAGGGCGACCTTTAACTCGCACCGCCTCAAACTGAACACTAGAAGCTCGTAGGGACGTAAATTCAATTTTCATTAGTCTCTGCAAACGCTTGTATTAGCAATAATCCCAGCGAAGATTAATGAGTTATGCAGTAAAGTTACAGCAGCCTTTTAAGTGTTTGCGAGGTTGAAATCGTCAATATTTTGGTTGCCCAAAGCAATTCGTTCATTTTCTTGCCTAAATCGAGCTAAACTTTGCCGTGAGCAGCTTAAACAGAGCTTGAAGAGAGCACTTGAGCTTAACCTGAAGTCGCCGCGTCACAAACGGGTAAAACCAAGCCTCTGTAAAGCTATGACGAGTGCAAAACTACGACGAGTGTTTTAGGTCGCTCAAACGACCCCGAAACTTTGACGGATGATGCAAATATGAAAACCAGAAGCCAACGATCCAAGCTCAGTAAAGGGGCGGCCCCGGGGGACCTCACACAACCACGGGCGACCCTTCGCTGCCCCGTAAAGCTACCGGGCGACGCGAATTCGTTACCAACTTAATTACCCGCTTAATTCTTTACGTTACAACATACATCCCTACGAGCAACAGCGCTGCCTATATTTATTCTTAAAACCACGCTGTGAACTGCTTGATGGAGTACGCGGTACGTACCCAAAGAATAACGGGGCTTTAAAGAGTTTTCTTGGGAAAACTTCTGCTGCAGAGAGCGGGGAAACTTTAACGTTATTCGGAGTAAAAACTACTCGCAGGTTTTTTTACGTTTGAAAGGCATCGGTGAAAATACAAACCGGCTGAGGAAAACACCACGGAAGCACTGAGGGGGATAAGGATGAGCTTGTTAATAAAGGTGAGAGCAGCCCGAGTTTATAACGAACAGACTTTTGTTCCCTGCCGTTAATTAGTCGCGTAGAGCCGTATCTCTTACGGCCACCGTGCATTCGAAGCGAGCAGGAACAGTCTTTGCTTTCACGCCAGCGGCTAATTACCGCATTAAACGAGCACGGGAACCGAGCGTCCGTGCCAACCACCATCCCGACGGCGTGAACGGACCTCGCTCCTCCGGCATTGCACCCACGAAACCCCCGGGGAAAGAGCAGTCGCTCCCCGGCCGGCTCCGGCTTCCAGCAGCACCCAGGTTTCCCCCCTTCCCGCCCAACACGGCACCCAAAAACGCAGGAGGGTGGCTCAAGAGTTTCCCCCTCTCCCAGAGCTGAGCCCTCCAGCTTTACAGTTTCCAAACAACTCCTACAGCAGTAGGAAACAACCTGGAAAAAAGGGAAAGTTTAGCTTGAAAATTTAAAGAGACCCACCAGCCGTGCGAGCTGAAGAGCGGGCGAGGAAATTGCCCCGTTGGAAGCTTAAAAGGGGCCCAAGGAGGAGTCGAGCGACGTGGAGCGTGAGGTGGAGCGGGTGTTATGGCGGGGAAGCTGCGGGGAGCGGCGGGCGGGCGGCTCGGTACCTCAGGGCTGGGGCACCGGCCCGGCGGGCGGGCACACGACCCGTTCCCGGCCCAGCCTGCCTCAGGCTCCGATCGCCCTCGCTGCTCGCTG